AAAATTGGGCCCGGCTGATGTTACTTCACGGAAGCTCGACCTTTTACTCGCACTGTGACACAACCTTTCATGCCTATAATCCACAATGACAATACTGAATCTACCGCATCCGGCAGCAACACTAGCACCGCCAAAGCGCGTAAGACCCTTCTTGATCGTTTCATAAACTCTTTCAGGTGCACAGGCTGAAGAGGAGGACATGACCGTGGAGCTACACTATGCAGCAAAAAGAGCGAAATTTTATAATGAGTTTGGGGACTGCCATCAAGAAATTCAACAGCTGGTAGCTTTCCATTGCGGCCTGACAAACCCCAGCCTGGTACAAGTGCCAGCAATGTTTGGGAAGGATGGTGAGCTTGTGTGGCGGCATGGCAGTTTTAACATGTGTATCCCTGTATCCATAAACCGCGCTGGGCGCAACAATGCTGGAAACTCACTGCCATCTAAACTGGGATTCCGGGTACCTTTACCATATAAGCTTGGGGAAGAAGCCTTTCCTGGCAATGTAGAGGAGAAGGTGCGATCAGAGGCTGCAACATATATCTGGATCAATAAGAACTGCCCGGATATACCGATACCAAAACTGCGAGGGTTTGGAGTGACTGGCGGCCTGAGTGTGAGTCTGCAAGTGTTCCGCAACAGATATCGAGGTTAATTTGCTGATGTTTGGTGAGAGCATAGTTCTGTGAACCTGGAGTTGTTTCACTATGGGAAAGAATCAAGTTCTGTATTTGGCGCTTCGCCCGCTGTTGGTGTGGGAGCAGAGAATTTTCTGACAGCAAATATGTTCCCCGGAAAAGAAGAACATTTCTCGATCATAGCTATATTTTGATGGACTGGATTGAAGATATCAATGTGCAAATGCTCTCCAACGTGTTCTCCAAACCGCATACGGATGCGCGGACTCAAAATCTTTATCGAAGTCTTTCAAGAATCATGATTTCCCTTGCGAGAATTCCACAGCGTCGAATTGGCTCTTGGACTATTAACAATGACGGCCAGATCAGCTTAACCAACCGTCCTATGCTCTACCATCTTCATCAGTTAGAGAATTGGTCTATTCCAACGGATATTCCTCGAAATATAACCTATACAAATGCTGATAGTTTCTATCTTGACTTACTTACCAGTCATGATAATCGCCTGCAGTATCAGAAGAATGCTGTCTTTGATGAGATCGACGCACGTTCCCAAGCCAAAGATCTACTGCTTATGAGAGCACTTCTACCGCAATTCACTTACCGACATCTTCGTTCCGGTCCTTTTGTTATGCAGTTCACGGATATGCATGCCAGCAACGTTTTTGTTGATGAGAATTGGAATATCAAGCATGTTATTGATCTTGAGTGGACATGCTCCCTGCCCTTAGGGAATTTGCGGCCACCATTTTGGTTAACAGGAAAAGGGGTTGATGAAATCGAAGATGCGGAACACGAACGGTTCAAGGCTTGCTACAACCAGTTTGTGGATATATTTGAACAAGTGGAGGCGAGTACAAACACGCCGCTATGTCATGATGGGAATCTCTATTCTCGGGGTACGCTTATGAAGACAGCGCTAGATAACTGTCAATACTGGTATTTGAGTGCATTGCATACTCCAAAGGGCTTATTCAATCTTTTCAGGACGCATCTTGAGCCAATGTTTGACAAGGCGCCTAAAGCGGTCATTCGGGAAGGAGTGTCCCCATTTTGGAAGCCTGGAATGACTTCATTTGTGAATTCAAAGGTGGATGAACATACTCGATACCTGGAAGAGGTCCGCGACATCGTTAATGGCATCTCTAGTCATTGAACTAGACTAGAGAAGTAGAATTTCAACAGAATCAAGACTCATATTGCAATAGCACGATGCTTAACATGACAAGAGACCTTGAGATATCTCTCTGTGTATTTATTGTCGCCTTCTAGCACGTCTGGCCTCATGACCACTGCTGCTCATTTGCTGAGTTGCTGTAGGGTTTTCAGTCATCCGAGCAGTATATGTCTCGCCCGTCCTTTCTTCTGGCGATGCAGGCGGCCCCCCATGTTCCAAGGCAGATGCTGTCAGTGCCCTTTCCTCCTTAATAGTTTCAATGTTGGGTTCAATGCTTGTGGAGGAATGTTGTGTCGCCGGACTGCTGCCAGCAGAATGCTGAGATCTAGATTGATGTTCTGAAGGAGCACTACCCGGAGTGCTACCTGCCACGGTCGAGGTATCGGGGCTCCAGCGACTGATCTCTTGATACGTGGGATGGCTGGCAGCTGTTTGGCTTGAGGTTGAGCTGCGCTGCGTGCCGCTCTCTTGTAAATGCAAATTGCCAGACGTCTGATTAGGGTCTGTTTGCGTGGAGGTAGACATGGCCGTTGGCTTGCGCTTCTTTTGTTCTCACAGTTAGCCACTGAAATGTTTTCGTCGTGAGACCGTACTGTAGTCATGCTGTTACCTTTGGTGTTTTTAACAACTTTATCCTGCGTTCTACTTTTATCTTGATGGTAGATTGAAAGATACGAACTTGTCAGAGAAATTGGAATCCAAGGATTGTTGAGAGAAGTTGTAACCTTGTAGGAACTGCCATATGGCCTTTTCATCCATGCATAGGTGCCTGATTTCATACCCCGCCCAACACGCCTTCTAACTGCACCAGTGATTTTACGTTATCAAAGAATGGTGTGATGAATGTATTCATGGCTAGCTAAAGAGTATGAACAAGGGTATTTCTCTCTGCTATCTAAAAAAAAAAAGAATTAAACAAAGAAGTAAGAAAAGAGACTAAGGACTGTACCTGTCATTGCCCCCATTAGCCATGACAGCCTGCCCTATACGTGCTGCGATAGAATCCCCCCACGCATCTCAAGTCTTAATGAGGAACCAATCGAAAAAGAGAGGTTCTCATGCTTCAGGACCTCCACGATGTGCGATTAGCCGCCGTCTCCGTTACCAGCAGCTCGGAGGAACACTAAAGAGGATGCGCCTTAAAGGAAAACGCCTATTGCTGGTGGAACTGGACGCACCTGCTATTCTATTCACTCCTCGCTTTCGTACCTGGTGTAACTAATTCGACCCTATGGCCATGTCAAGCCCACCACAGCTCCCACTCTCCAATGGGTGCACCCATTAATTGGAAGCAAGTCTAGGAGGCT